TTCTAAGAAAAAATGAACCATTTTCAACAAAACTTCGAACCACAAATCCTTTTTTTCAACATTCACATCCTATGGTTAAAAAAAACCAATAAAACGCTCGTAGCTCTGCAGAGATGATTAATGAACTTGAATTTCTAGGAACTTATTCTAGTTCTGAGAGTGTCTCTAATCAATGGATAAATAAAGTAAACTAAATTATCTTTGGTTTGGTTCACGAAATATTACATAGAACTGGAACCATTAAACCATCAGATAAATACAAAAATTTTTATTTTTGAATTTTTGAGATTAAAGACGGCAAATATTTCAGTACTTATCAATATATATAGTCAGATCTTTAATCTCCAAAAATGAAAAATCGAAGATTTCTCGACATCGATTTAAGAATTCTTCTATGTATCTGATATCAGCATCTGAATACAAGATTGACCTACAAACTAGTTCGAATTTTAACATACGAGCTTATCCCTTCAATTCGAGATTAAATGTAATTCTCACTTAGAAACGCTAACGTATGTAGGCAGTGACTTGAAGAATATAATCACATTTGTATTAATAGTAAAACAACTAAATGCCTTATCTCCTTTGAACAGAGGTTACTTATCTTGAATAGATTAGTTCATATTTCTCAATAAAATATTTGTTTATGATAGAAGCATTTTTAATGTCAATGAGTTTCTCTTTGAATGAATGCTATAATTCGGATGAAAATGATGGTAGTAAATATCAGGCATATGAACCATACCATTCCATTATAGATATTGACAGTGTGAAAGAAATTATCGTTCAACATTCATATTTATGACTTCAATGGAAGAAAAAAAAAAGAACGTTTAAAAACATAAATGTCTTTTCTTTTTCATTAGACATGGACAAGATTTCATTGTGATTGTTCTCAAACAGGCTATAGTGGTGCTGTTTGTCATGTTAGTGATATGCCATTATCATGTCTTGATTATAAATTAAATCGTATGAAAATTGATGAAGTTATTCCTGAACGTATAACAATAATTGATATTGATGGTAGTGGTCCATTAGCACCATTTCCAATTGTATGTCGTTATGGTTCCAAATCAGAAATTCTTAATGTAACTGAAATAGGTCATTATCATGAATTAGAAAGTTATGTATCAAGTGGTTATCAATTACCTAATACAATTTATTCACAAACAATAAATTATCGTGTACCATTATTACAATTATTTAGTCTTATTGATCGTTCATATGTATGTAAACAATATATTGAATATACATGTTTTAATTCACGTTTATTAAATTATCCTAATTCACCATATGGTTGGTGGGTTGGTCGTACAAATCAAACAATGGATTATTGGGGTGGTAGTGAAATAGGTACAGGAAAATGTTCATGTGGATTAGATATGTCATGTGCTAATCCAAATTTATTTTGTAATTGTGATTCACAATTTACAACTGAACTTAAAGATGGTGGATATTTAACACGTAAAGAATATTTACCTGTTCTTCGTGTTGAATTTGGTGATACAGGTAAGATAGAAAAATTTATTTTCTTCGGTTTTTGTTTTTTTTTGAATGTATTATAAATTGAATGTTTTTTTTTTCTCTTGTTTTAAAGGACCAGTTGGATCACCACAATATGGTCGATATCAAGTTGGTCGTCTTTATTGTGAAGGTGATTTACTTTATGATAATACAGTTACATTTCGAAAAGCTGATGCTATTATAACAGTACCACCATTTGAAGCTAAAGTAGCTGGTGATATACGTTTTCAATTTAAAACTGGTTTTGATTCAGCTACATTTGGTTCAGCTATTATTGTACAAAATGTTGGATATGATAATGGAGATCTTATTGAAGTAAACGTTATTGTTTTTTGTTTTAGATCATTCATTTGAAAATTTTACTTTTCTTGGTTTTAAGATTCGTCTTCAAGCACCACGTGAAATAGCATTTCGATATAGTGTTGGTCGTGGTACAAATATCATTACAATTCGTGCACCATATGATTTTAATGATAATGATTGGCATACTGTACAGATTGAAATAAATCGACAAGAAGCAAGATTATCAGTTGATGATTTATCAGCAGCTAATCCAGAAGATCAAACAACATTTCGTCATATACGTTTAACATCAAATTTAACAATTGGTGCATCTGTTACTAATCGTAATGGTTTTGTTGGATGTATACGTGCATTTCAAGTTAATGGAAAATTAATGGATTTAAAATCACAAGCATTACGTGGTATGTATGGTATATCACCAGATTGTATTGGTAAATGTCAAAGTAATCCATGTTTAAATGGTGGCCGATGTAATGAACGTTGGTCAACATATGATTGTGATTGTACATTTACACCATTTCGTGGACCTATTTGTTCAACAGAAATTGGAACACGATTAGAAGCAAATACAATGATTAAATATGTATTTCCTACACAAGGTAAATAGAAACATTTATTTATAAAAAAAAAAAAAAAAAAAAAAAGACAAATATATATTTTTGTAAAGGTGTAACTGCAACTGAAGAAGAAACAATTCGTGTACTATTTACAACTTATAAAAAACAAGGTATATTAATACAATTAAAATCTGATAGAGTTGATGAAAAAGGTATGATTGATTATTTTACATTGGAAATGAATAATAATGGTGGTGTACGTGTTAAATTTAATTATGGTTTTGATACATTTGAATATAATGTACCATATGATTTAACCAATGGACAAAATCATGAAATTATTGTAACACGTCGTGATCATGGTAAACTTATTATAGTTAGTGTTGATAATTATGAACCATATATTGATGTATTTCCTCAAACACAACAAATTGATATGCAATTTGATAGTCCACGTGTTATGTATATTGGAAGAAATGAAACGACACCACCTGAAGAAGGTTTTACTGGTTGTATTTCTCGATTACAATTTAATCGAATATTTCCATTAAAATATGCTTTTTTGGAAGAACGTGATCCAAGTATAACATGGACTGGTGGAAGTATTCGGTAAATTAAATTAAAATAAACATAAATAAAAGAATATTATTTATTCATAATTAGGGAATGGCCATGTGGTACAGAACCTGTAAAATATCTACCGGAACCTCTAGAAATTCCACCTGATCGTGGATTTACTATACTTGGTTCGTTAGTTTCTTTTTTTTCCTTTTCATAATTAAATAGTTCTTTAAATCTTTTTTTTTTTTTGTTGAAGCATTACCACGTCCAATTTATAAACAAAATGTTTATGCAAGAAATTTAGGTCTTATTCTTGGTTCAATGGGTTTTCTTTTACTACTTATTCTTGTTGGACTTGGGGTTTGTTATCAAAAATCAAGTAAAAGTGGACACTATAAAACAAAAGAAGATAAAGGTGCTGATCAAGCAATTGATGCTGATATAGCAATAATAAAAGGCGATCCACGTCATCCAGATTTAACTGAGCCAAAAGAATGGATTTTATAATATCTTTTTTTTATGTATTTACTACTGCTCAGTAATGTAGATTTGAATACGCTCACAGTTATTCTATATATATATATACGATTATATTGTTTCTTTTTTTTTGTATAATAATCAATTAATTTAGAAGTTCATTTTCTTCATTGTATTGTATTTTTTTTTATCGTAAGTTTTTTGTCTTTTTGTATGATCAGAAGTTTATTTGCCACAAGATAACAGTATATAATCTTTTCTTTCTTTCTTTTTTTTTAATTTGCTAATAAAAATATGAATCTCAAAGAAAGTTTTTTTTCTTGAGTATTTTAGAATGATTCAAAGTAATGATATTATTATTTATAATAATGATCTGGAAACATCACTTTGCCAAGTAATGAGAAAAACAATCAAAAACTGAAGAGAACAAATACAATGCGTCTTATTAAATGAATGCTCGCGATGGATGAAGATTATTATTCGAATGATAAGTGTTTACATAAAATAAGTATCTGTCTGATTAACAGTAAAAGTTAATTCAGAAAGAATAGATTTCTTCTTTTTTTATTCATCATATAAATTTTAATATGTATTTCATTTTTGTGTTTTAGAATTTTATATCTTTGGTAGGAACTTGTTATGAAATGATTATCATGAGTATAGTTAATCAGTCAGATAAATGTTAGAAGAAAAAACAAACTTTGATTTTATGTTAAAATTTTTCTTTTTCGATTAGATGATAATGATGAAAGAAGACTTCGTTATACCAAAAATCATATAACAAAGCCTATCTTTTTATGTGCTAGAATAGTGCTTTAAATCTTAATTTTGGAGGTTATTGTAAGATAAATTTACAAAGCTACATTTTCAAAGACTGACGTTCAAAAACTGCAGATATCTTTTTTTCTATGTTTCAGGAAATGATTCCTCTAGGACGTAGGTAGTAATAGGTGCGTTTTAGTATCCAAAATGTTCTTTTCATTATACATTATTTCTAAAACCATCATGGCTTATCATAACCTACCATTACACTCATAATCATTCTTCTTGCTGCATAATTGTTAGAATTTAAAATATTAACTCAGAAATTACTCGTATTATATTTTATATTGTATGATTTCGATTTGACTCTTTCTTTATACTATTTTCAGAATTCGTGATACTATAAATTAGATAACAAAGGGAAAACAATGGAGTTTATTTTCTTTTATGAAATTTGAATATTTTAATCAAAATTCAGCCTGATATATAAGTTGACCTTAGTTTCGTTTTTTTGACTCTCAATGATAGTAATGAATTAAGATATCTATAATTTACTATAACAGCTGCGATTCTATTAATAACGGTTGAAAGTATATAGACTAACTTACGATTCACATATTCGAGAAATGTCGTATTTTCTCCCATATCATTGATTTTCTACAGAGTTTATATTTTAGCATTTATCTGTTTACGAAAACTTTCGTGAATACTTTATAAAAAAATTTAATCTTTTGTTGTCAAAAATAAAATATTTCTTTTTGGAAAAAAAAAACTTTTAGATGAATTTATTTTTTTCTTTACTATAATCAATACACAATGACGGTTTTTTGTCTTGATATTTTACTACATGGAATTATTCCGGCAATAACTGGTGGTTTTTATTATGATCTATATACTACACCATTGGCTAATACTGTACATATTTATTTATGGATCTGTTTTATGATACTTCCACTTCTCTTATATCTCGTATGAACTTCATTTATTATTAACAAATTAATTAAGAGAGAAATCATGAGATCATCGATCATATGAGGCACTCGAGAAAATAATTTTTTCCTTTTCTTTTGTGAATTCAATTCATCGATGTTTAAAACTATCAGCCCTGAAATTTTAGCTACCAATCGTCTTTCTTTAAAAAATTAGTCAATACTGGCTTCTATCATTATGATACCATTATGAAAAATACAGCCAAAAGTTTTCTGTTAAAGTTGTGTTCGTTTTCATTGCAAAAATCATTCAAATCGACTCAAGTTTTATAGGGTCAACGTGAATGAAAAGTGGTTCTTTTAATAAGTCTAAGGTGTACACTTTATAATAGTTTATTTTTTGTCAAGATCTAGAACTAGAGCGTGTCAACTTGAACTTAATATATGTTATACAACTTTTTGTTCTCGATAAAATGGTATGTTTGGAGCAAGACGAGTTTAATATCTCTCTCGTAAATGGTGATTTTAATATAGAAAAATATTTTTAGTGGTTTCCATGGACGTGAAATGATTGCAAAGCAGAATAAACATGATATTTGGAATCGGCATCGAAAACTGCATTGAATAGAATACTTTTTTGGAGAAGTTTTTTCCGGTGAAAAACTGACTTCTGAGGAATCATGAAACAAATTTTTAATAAATTCATATTGACGGGTGTTAACTAGCTGCTGAAAAATAAGGGTATTGAAAGTTAAAATTTTGGGGTTTGTGGCTTCAGGTACCGATGCATTGAATATATAAAAACGAATTTCATTTTTTCATTGAGTGCCTCGTAGACTCGATGGCTTTATAAAAGTTCTTTTAGGATACATATATTTCTTTGTTCTGTTTAGTTTACACCAATCAATCTATTATCGTTTTATATTTATCCATTAATAATAGGAATATTATTTTCTATTATCAAATTCCTTAATTATCGTTTACATAAATTTTTTGATTTGGCTGTAAGATGTGATGATACAATTGTTAATAATGAAAAGACTACAACAAGTATCAATGACGACATTGAAGAAGCACATAAATTTCTCAATCATCGTACAACAATTGATGCTCCTTTATCAGAAACACAGTAATTTTTTTTTATTTTATAAATCATAGGAAGTATTTCACTTTTCTTTTGCTTTAAATTTCTATAGACCATTATGGATTGATTCTTTATATGGTAGTAATAATAGCAATTTACCATCTATGTATGATGAATCATGTACTCATGTACGACGATCAAATGTGACAACAACAAATGATTGTCATACATCAACATTAGTTTCTTCACCAGTGGCTCTTACACAAAAATCTAACGATCAAATAAATGAAATACCAAAATATTCTTTAACAAATGTTATTTTACAAGGACCTAGTCTACAAGATACATGTGTATCAGATTCAAAATTATGTAAAAACCATGAACTAAAGCCAATAATAAAAGTTTATCGAGCAAAAAATGCTATTCGTCGTGTACAATCAGATTTTAGTATTATATTAAATCATAATGATTTAATACAATCAAATATAACTGAATTATCTTCAATAAATGATAGTAACCGTTTAAATAAAAAATCAAAATCTATGGAAAATAATCTTAATAAAATTCGAACAATTAATAATCAAGAAAATTCATCAGTTAAGGAAAAAAGTGAACCAATTCTTGAAAATAAATCGGTATGATTTTCAATTTTATAAGATAAAATATATTAAAGAAAGTTACATACATGCAGTACATCAGTTGAGATTGAAATTGTATTTTTTATAATTTTATACTTAAAAGAGTACATCAGTAAATAATCTGTAAAATATTGACAATATATAAATAAGAAAACTTGTTTATTGATAATTTTATTTCTTTTTTTCCTGTTGAATTGAATATCTTGCTTAACAATTTATTTTGTGATGGGAATGTTGGATGATTGATGAGATTGAAATAATTATTAAACATTTATGTTGCACGTTTGTTTGCACTCACTGCCGGTATACTATTGCATCTATGCATCCCTCTCATCAAAACTTCTGATTAGCAGATGATAAGTATTCATCTATTAAAAACAAAACCTTTAGGCATGCCAAAAGCAAAAATCTCCAAATAAAATTGAATATGATTATAATCAAAGCTTCTTAAATCAAATAATGAAAATACTAGGATAATATTATCAATTTTAATCAAACTAGAATAGATGCCACTAAAATATGTTTGTTTACAAAAGAACTTCTCAATATATGTTTCTAAATAGGAACCTCAAGCTGAAGCATGTTCAGCCGTCGATGTTCCAATAGATGATTGGCGTCCAATTTTACAAATTCTTGAAAATGTTTTTGCTGATGATGATGAAACATCTGATATGATTACTGAACAACCTGAATCACTTGAACCATTATTACCAAAAAAAAAATCTTATTCCAATGATCATCGATATTCATCAAAATTAAATGAACAACAAAATGATAATCAAGATGAATCAAATGTTCCAACTCGTTTTCATCGTACACATTCAAGTCAAGGTCGACGAAGACGTCGAACATCACGTCGCGCAACATGTAAATCAATTTATCAAAAAAAAACAAAAACAAAAGACGAAATCATTTAATTCTATTTCTATTATTTAGCTGTTGATCAACGTCAACTATATTTTAACGGTGAACATACTTCAAATCATCATCTTTCATCATCATCATCATATCGACGATCAGCTTGTCTTATTAAAGGTATTTATTATTCACATCATGGCAGGCACCAATTAGAGATCATCACAGACTGCGCCAAATACTAAACAGAGACTGTATATCGATTACGTTTTATTCTAATGTATGAAATATTGTCTTATTGCATTTCTTGATGATTATGTGAAAGAATGGCGATGCAAGCTATCCCCAAACAGATAGAATAAAGCAATCTCTTTATAATTACCGATAGCAACTACAGTGTGTTTTACATTTTAATTTCCTAAAGATTAAACTAACAGTTTTTATATATACAAAATAAATTTTGTTTTTAGAAACTTGTTTCGATGAACGAACATCAAATTATGACTGTAAGTTTTTAACAATTAAATTTTATTTATGGTTCGATTTATTTTTTTCTTTTCGTAGCTTTACGTGATGAAACTAGTCTACGTGATGATTCATTAACAACAACACCATCCGAAGAATCATCACAATTATTAGTACGTACAACTGAACGACCTCGTTGGATTCCTGTTTATCGACAAAAGTATTATATAGTAGTCAAGTTTCTTGAGTTTTTCTTTTTCTTTTTCTTTTTTTTTATTATAGTCACTATGATCAAGATTCATCATCACAAATTATTGATGAAGTCGAATGGCACAATGAAACAAGTCCAGGAACTGTACATTATTTTCGTGATGAAAATGGTTTGAAAAATATTTTGAGTTTAATTTCATTTATGAAATATTTGCTTTTTAATTTTAGGAAAACTTTTTTCTTATGTTTTTGGTGATACATCATGTCAAGCACGTATGGAAACATCAGATCCAAAACCGTTAAGGTTTTTATTTTTCTGAAATCAAAATTTTGAGTTTTGAAATATTTTGTTGACTTTTAATAATTAGTGATACAATCACACGAAGTTTTAGTGATGAAACTGAAGCAACTGTTGAACAAATACCAAGAGGACAAATAACACCTTCACAAACTCCATCAACAACTGTTCAACAAAGTCATGAATCTTGTTCATTTTTTAGTAGTCGCCGTCGTCGTCATCATCATCATCGACAACCACATCGATCACGACGATATGAAGTAAGATAAATATTTAACACGAAATATAATTATATATATTATTTATTCCTCTTTTTATTGATTGCTTCATCAACATCGGGACGACCTGTTATTATAACTGATGAAACACGACGACAAATATCGAGTAGTATTGATGTCACAACACAAGAACAGCAAACAAATCAACGTGAACATCAAACAAGAATTAAACATCGATCTATAAAAGGACAAACATATCGACTAAAATTATTTAATAAAAACATTATTGTTCCATTTGATCGTCTTTGGCTATTGACTGTTTTCGATAGGTATAGATATTATGAATTCGATTTTCTTCTCAATGTTATACTTGTACTGGAAACTTCTTAACGATTGTTCAAATTAAGTTTTGTCTGAAACGTCTTAGTAAGAGATATAGAGGGAACGACTTTCGACTCCTGATGCCGATGACTAAAACCATGCAAACGCGAAGTTACTGATACTAGAATCTAAACTACGAAAAAATACAGCTATTCGAACAGAAACTAGAAATTATGGTTAAATATTCTTTAGTTTTACGAATAATTATTTTATAAAACTATATCAATCAAAGCATAATTCACGAGAGATGAAAAGAAAAAGTACTAGTCGTCCGCTAACTATGATATCAAAAAAAAAACAAATAACCCGAGAGTTTCAAATTACTTAGCCAAAAGAAATCTGAACAACAAAATAAGAAAAAGACGATGATGACTTTTAACTTGACCTTTTTACTTAATAGAGATCGATCAATCGCTGAATGTATTTTATGTATAATCTTGGCTATTATTGTTGCAATAATTGGCATACATGTTCTTTATAATGATATTTATTATGACTTAGAAATTCTTGTTTATTGCTGTGTTATTGCTGCATCTCAATATTCTTTATTAAAAAGTTGTCAACCCGATGTGAATACACCAGTTCATGTATTAATTTCTTTTATTTATATATTTTATATTTTATAGTAGTTTTGTTTTTCTTCTTCTTCTTCTTCTTCTTGTAGGGTTTTAATCGTAATACAGCAATAAGTCGTGCAATATATTTTTGTTTATTTTCAAGTTTATTATTAATAATATATAAATTAAAAATGTATTCATGGCATTTTATATTATTTGGAATAACATTTTCAAATATAACTATATGTTATATGATCTATAATATTCTATCAATAATATTATTATGTTTACCGATATTATTTCTATTTGGTTTATTACCACAATGTTCAACATTTTTTCTTTGTATACTTGAAAATTTTGATATGCATTTATTTGGTGGTACAGCTATGATTAATATACCTGGAGCTTTATATAGTTTTATATTATCAATAATTAATTTTATTCTTCTATCAATTATTGGATATTATGGATTGTTAATTGATACATCAAAAGTAAATAATTTTCTTCAAAAAGAAAAATCATAATAATAATAATAATTTAATTAATACTAATTATTTTCTATTTATATAGGATCATATGCAAAATATATTATTTTCAATATATTGTGGTTTTACAGTTAGTATTTGTTATAAATTAAGTCGTGGTTCAAGTAATCCAAATGTTTTGTGGCATATAATTAAATATGATTTATTAAAAATAAAACGAGTATTAATTCAAAATGAAGATATACAAGATCCATTGCCAGATAAATTAAAAACAATTGTAAAACAACGTATACAGTCAGATATTCTTCTTTGTTTTCTTATATTTATTCTTGTTTTTGCTGCACATGCTTCAACAACATTTACAAGTCTTCAAGTATGTTAAAGTTTGTTTCTATTTCATCGAATATTGCATTTTTCTATTCATATTTATTTAGCCAATACTTAATTATATAATATGTTCAATAGTTATTGTTCTGGGTATTTTATTTCATTATATACTACCACAACTTCGAAAACAATTACCATGGTTATTATTTAGTGAACCACTTATTAAACAAGCAGATTATGCATTATTTGAACCAACAGGTAGAGAATAAAAAATAAAATTGGATTAATAACATAAGAAGAAGTGACTTTCTCTTTATTTTTCTTTTGTTTTATGTTTTAGAAGCAACAAGAGTTTTATTTATCGAAAAATTATTTGTGTGGATTGTTTTTATTGAAAAAAATATTCTTTTACCATGTACATATCTTGGCGCACTTTCACATTCGGCACCAATTGTTATTAATAAGTTTGGTCTATTGTAAGTGAATTATAGAAAAAAATAAGTAATCTTTTGAAATATAAAAAGAAAGATGATAAATATTAAGATTAGTAACGATTAATACAACTAAGATTATACATAGAAGGTAAAGTCTATCTAAAGGACGGCAATCGATAAATAATTACTTTTAGTTAATCAGAACGAAAGATTTTTGAAGAAGTATATTATCTATTCGAATGGATCAATGAAAGATATAGATTGTTAATCATTTAGAGTTAATCTGATTCGAAGGTTTTTAAAGTATCTTCATGAGTTCAGTCTTAGTTTTGCTGCAAAACTCATTTTGAATCCTGGATTCGCTAGATGAAGTGTAATATCTACATATGGACAAGATAATTCGGTCGGGGCAGGACTGGAACCAAAAATGATTGTTCCTGATCCTCACTAGTAATACCATACATTTTGTCGGAAATGTTCTCAATATAGAAGCTAAAATTATTAGATATTCGACAACAGCTTCCAGAATATATTTTTTTAGGATTTATCTACAACTTCCCCTGTGCATCTTATCATAAAACGATGGGAATTATGCTAAGTGTTAGAGCGAGAACGTCACGTAGGGCCAGAGACCATATGAGAGTGGGAGCTGACACTTCAGAATTCTGTCTTTCTTTTGATACAGGTTAAATGTATTATATGTTATCAATATATTACACTAAATCAATTTCATAGTTTCAATAGATCCTTAAAAAAATAAGTTCCAGTAGTCGCTCATTATAGTATCACTTGGCTGATGTTATTGCTATACGAACAGTTAGAGCACTCTCAGTACTACATATAAGATGTGGACAGAAATTTTTCTCAAGCTTCATGTACTTAAATAAAATATGAATTTTGATAGGTTTTTTTATATGTCCTAAATATATAACCTGTTCTAAATAATTTGTATTATTTAGACCATCAATATTAATTTTAACATTATGTTCAATGAAAATGCTTCGTATTGGTTATTGTAATGCTTCAAGACATTTTCTATATGTACTATTAACAACCATAATGACGTATGTAATGACGTCAAACTGTTCGGAAACATTTCTACTTAATTATTTTATTTTATCAATATTAACTGAAAAAGTAACTTTGAAAAAAAAACAACAAATATATTTTTAAAATAAATTTTCTTAAAAAAATTTTTTTAGTTGATTGATTTTAAAGAAAAGTTAAACTTTATTTTTGTCTATTGTGCTCCATGGCAAATATCATGGGGTTCTGCATTTCATGCTATTGCTCAACCATTTTGTATACCACGTAAATAATATTTATTTATTGTTTAATTATTAAAGACTAATATTTTTTTTGTTTTAATTTAGATTCAGCTATTCTTGTTGTTCAATGTTTGATATCAGCTTTATTAAATTCTCCATTAATGCCATTATTAGGTAGTGCTGCATTTATATCATCTTATCCTCGTCCAATTAAATTTTGGGAAAAAAATTATAATACAAAACGTATTGACAATACAAATGTTCAATTGCAAGCACAAATCAATGAATTTCATTGTGGTCTTGATGATAATAATTTAAATGCCATTTTTTATGAACATTTAACACGTGTTTTACAAACTTCACTTTGTGGAGAAATTCAACTTGGACGTATGTATTAAAAAGTTTTGTAATAAGAGTCATTTAATCAAGTTACGGAAAAAGAATTAGAAAATCTATAAAAAAAAAAAAGAAAGAAGCTTCTTGACATTGTCCCTAGGAAGCTAAACCGTAGAATCCATTATGTTTTCTTTAGCCTTGTTACACAAATGCAAAATACTTCGAATGAGAAATATATAGCCGATTATAGTTGTTCTTCAAGGATAGTCAATCATTAGGAAAGTGATCTGTTTTACTTATTTCTGCATTTCAAAATGATACTTTTTGAATTACACCTGAGTTTTTGCTTGCTTTATTGCTTTTCCACGCATTATTTTGGCATATTGAGTTTGAAAATTTTATGTGTACAAAAATCGAAAACTACACTATTTAGAGCATTCACAAACGTATTCCAGTCATTTGAATTTCGAGTAAGGCTTTGGAATGTTCTAGAACAGTTTAACAGGAGAATCTTTTCAACTAGAAAATCGCTTTTGCACTTGGACTCTGTGCATAAAATACACTTCAATGAGTTATTAAAAATTTCAAAAGATAAGGGCATCAAGATCTTCTCTGTAAAGTTGTAGGCATCTTATTGCAACTTTTATCTATAGATATATCTATCTGTAAATAGAATATTCTCTTCACAAGATATTGAGTTCCCAATAATCATTTATATTACATGAAAGAATCGAGAATATCGTGTTTTCTTTCGGAATTCAATATCTCGAAAATGAAACATTCTAGGTACAAACACACTTATCTATAGGCTAAAATTACATTAAAACAGCTGTAACTTTATAGTGAAGTCCTGAGAGTCCTTATCCTTTTGGAATTTTTATTGCCTAATTGGAGTCTATTGAATGCACAGAGTCCGAGAACAGAAACAATTTTCAATTTGGCTGAGTTCTTTTGTAAGTCTTCTTGTATATGTTGCTTAGTACCTTTTTTCATTGCTAAGAAAATGTGAGAAACGAGTATAACACCTGTTGTTTTCGGTGATTACGGAAGCGTACCTAATGACTGTCCTCCATTAATGAGTCCCACATAATACAGGAAATAAGATTCACTAATTTGACGCTAGGAAAATGCGCATTAAAAAGAACTTAAAATATTTTTAGGTCTTGGTAAAGTTAATACGGGCGATTTTTTTATATTAACAAGTGACAGTTTAAATTGTATGATTCATCTTATTGAAATTGGTAATGGTTTTATAACATTTCAACTTCGTGGTTTAGAATTTAAAGGTAATTAGAATAAATGATTCTTTTTTTTCTTTCTAATATGACCAATATTTATTTAATAATAATCAGGTACATATTGTCAACAACGTGAAGTTGAAGCAATAACAGAAGATATAGATAAAAATCGTGGTCTATGTTGTTGTGAAGCTGGTCGTTTTCCTCATATGCTTTCACTTAATGCTGCATTTACACAACGATGGCTTGCTTGGGAAGTTATTTGTCTAAAATTTGTTGTTGATGGTTATAGTATAAAAGAGAATAAATTTAATGAAACTGTTGTTGGTTATGATTTACGTAAACGACTTATATCATTAATGATTAAAGTATATTATTTTGTTTGTTTGTTTGTTTTTTTACATTTTGCTTCATTTTAAAATTTTCTAGGCAGTTATTTTTTATGCTATTCGTTCAGATCAACTTGTTAATTGGCTTGAAAATGAACAAATTCGACAAGCAATGATTCAATTTATGGATCCTGATCAAGTTGATGTTGATCCATCATTTACAACTTTATTTGATGATGATTTTAAAGTTGGTGCTGGTGGTGTAACAAAAAAAACTTTTACATTTGTTTATGGATCATGGATTAATTTATGCAATAATAAAAGACAAATAGTAAAGTTTCTTGTTTTTTTTTTCATATTAAAATGTTTATTTAAATGAAAATCGTTTGTATATATTTTTTGTAGCCTTTATCATCATTACAAGAAGATGATTTAATAACATTTTGTTTTATTCTTTCATTACTGGCACGTCGAACTTTATTTAGTTCATTACCTTCACAGTAAGATAAGATAATCATTTAAGAAATTTTATTTTTATTTTTTATTTTTTTTTGTAGTCATACAGTTTTACTTGAAATTTATCATGAGAATTTTGTTCATGGATTTTATTCATTATTTAAAGGTGATTTTCGTCTGGCACATAAAGATGAATGGGCATTTGCTGATATGTCCTTATTAAAAAATGTGGTTGCACAAGGTGTTCGAATGTCATTAAAACTTAATCAAGTAATATTTTTATTTTGAAAAATTTTAATAGAAATAATTAAAAGAATGTTTTCTTGTCTCTAGGATTCGTTTCTTGAAATGTCGGAATATCTTGATAATGAAAAATTATATGATGACATTGGTAAGATTTTACATATTTAGGATCTCACTTCGACATATATACTCAACTATATAGTTCAAATCTTATAGTTGCGTTTAAGTTAGTACCAAAAAAGAAATATTTCCAACTATGTAATTGTCTATTCCTCGAAACATACGTTTCATAATTGTCCGTATGACATAATTTTGGCAAGTAATAAATCATTGTTTGAGATGAATGCCGTCTCATTAAGATTGGACTAAGGATGCGCAGATTACTATGACACGTACATAGACGTGTCATAAGACAAATCTATTAAAAGTATTATCCATGTATGTTTGTTCTCTTTCTTTCTATCAGATATTTTTCCTACTGGGTTCTCCTGATTTCTTACTTTGCTGTCAATGTTGCTTATATCCAATAACTTATGTATTTTTCCAACCGTATTATGTTATCTATTGGTATATTTCATATTTCCCCTAACAGTTGATATATATATATATCTGTTGTTTCTATGTAAGGATCGTCTGATTAAACTCCTTAATTAAACTCTTCGATAATTTTTTAGTTGCATATTTGAATATATGATGTTTTCAATAGAGCTAGTTTATTGTGAAAGTATCAGACTTTCTTGTCTCTTTGTCTCTGATACACAAATATAAGAGCAAAGCTTGTTCTTTTTCACATAAGAAAATTTTCAATATTGATATTTGAGGATAGAAGATATAAGAAAGTTTCACATTTTCACAAAGCAGTAGTCCACTTGAAAAGTTTATTTGTACAAAATTTGAATTGGAAAATCGAATATTGATTTTGAAAAATCACTTAAAGGAGTGTACGCAGCATTCTGCTGACAAACCTACTAAAATAGTTGTAACTTGCAAAGAAAGACCCATGAGTGCAAAATTTTCAAATCTCTATCTATTGGTAATAGAACCTACTTATTAAGATAGAATTCATCGAAAAGAGATTCAAAATTGAATAAAGATTTCATGTTATGGATAGTGATCATTTACTGGTAAACATGTTTTTCATTAAATCGAATTTCGTATCATTGTATTTTTGCTATATGACTGATTGCCAATCTTGTTGTATTTGAAAATATAAATAAAACTCAACTTCTAATGCCGTCATTATTAGTTTTGTTCCTTGTTGAATACTCTATCAATTTTCTTAATAGGAAAATTTAGAATCGTAGACCAGAAAAACTTGCATTAAATGATTGTTTATAATATAAATATATGTGAACCTTTTTGTATGCTAAGAGTTCATTAAAATTAACAGACAGTGCAAAAGTTCTCCATTAATTTTACGTTTAGCATAACGTGACAACAACTCGTTGTGAGCACTCAATAGTTTTCCTATTAGCACGTCAACTACAAATTTGTGTATAAATGCTTCGTTCAAAATAATGACTTACCAAAGACTGAAGAGTTCTCTGCATACTTTTGAAATTTAGGAGAAAAATCTCTATTCACTATGAAAGTTGAGCTGATTTTCCAATCAAACATATTCTAACTCCCGTTTGTTAGTGATAAGTGTTCACAACCAATAATCGATCTCGAAACAATAAGATTTTTTACATTAATCGAAGTTAATAAAACTCTGTATTTGATGTCCAGTTTGAGTTTAGTGTGCCCCCAGAAAAGCTACATTGAGCGTTGTAGAAAGAAAACCAAGTTTCTAATAAAAACTGCTTCCTGTGGAATCTGTAGTGTTGTAACTCGAATAACTTCATACGATTTCAAAACTTGTATCGCTTTGACCACAGTCATACATATCGTGTCTAGAAGTTTTCAAAGCCTAACACAAGCTATTTCTCTAGACAAACATGTTCTTAAAGTGTTTCCGCCTTCGGTAAATATTTTGACTCAAGTATTTTGATACAACTTTGAGGTAAAGACTCTAATTGAAAAATGATCGAATCTCCAGAACAAGTTCTTGTCATGCGATAATAAAAATAAAATTAAGATAGGTTTTTTGTGCCATTCATTAGTTCGTTAAATTGTATGCTATTATAGATTAAAAAAAAAACAATTCTTATTTAACACATTCTTGTCCAAGATTTTCGATTAGGAGATCCGTTCCCCTAAACATGTCCGGCTTTCTTCCAAGTTTTTACAGCTTCGTGGTAAATTTGGGCAGAAGCCAAATTTTAAAACAATTTTGCATTTCTTCCGGCAGAAAGTGAAATAAAAATGAGCAGATAATGCCTCTGCGAAGTGAATAGGATTGGGACATGGACAGCCTAGTGGCAGGTCGTCTATTGTCGGTGAGACTTGATTGAAAACTTTTGGACCGAGATCCAGTCGACTCGTAATTTGATACTTTCAATGAAATTTTCTAATCGGAATAGGGTGACTGGTCCGAAGACACGAAATACTTTTTTCGGTTTTTGATATTCGACGACTAGTGTACCCTGGATATTTTTCACAATTTGTAGGGTAGAGCCTATCAGATCCAAGACAAACTCGACGAGCTCTACTCCTCCTATTTCTAAAAAAATATCAATAATTCTGTTCTTGCCAGCAGGACATTCAATCGTTCTTCGTTAGTTCTTGCTACACAATACTGTCTAAGATATGTCAGCGTAGAGAAAATAAATAACTATATAGATAAGCATTAAAATAAATCTAATACCTCAATCTCGTTACTTATCTTAAATAATTAAATTTTCAATGATTATATTTAGCTCAAAATGATGCTAATCTTGTAATAACTCATGAAGCATCACCTGAATGGCGAAATGCAATTTTATCTAATAAACCATCATTATTAGCATTAAGGTAATATTTTAATCTATTCGAAATCATCTTTATATTCTGTATTTAATATGATATTTTAAGACGAGCTCTTGTTGAAAGTATTGACGAATATCGAATAGTTATGTTAGATCGTCGTCATTTATCATTTCGTATTGTTAAAGTTTCTAAAGAATGTGTACGAGGTTTTTGGGCATCACAACAACATGAATTAATATTTTTACGTAATCGTAATCCTGAACGTGGTTCAATTCAGAATGCTAAACAAGTTCTCCGAAATATGATTAATTCATCATCAGATCAACCGATTGGTAATCATAATTATTTACTTCCAAAAAAAAAATTTCTGTTTTTCTATTTATAAAACAATAGGTTATCCAATATTTGTATCACCTTTAATAACATCTTATTCATCAACAAGTAAACCAATAAATGATATTATTGGTGGTGAACTTGCATGGGATTTAATTAAACAAAAATTATCAACATTTTTTCAACGGTAGATTTTTTGGAAAAAAAAACAAATCTTTTTATTTTTATTATTTATTTGTTGTTTTTAAATAGAGCTTATACATTTTTTCTATCTCATTGTTTTGGAAATGCATCAGGTACAAGTGAAGCTATACAACTTGCTGAACGACGTACAATGTCATTAGGAACAACAACACATGTTCAACAATCATCATTTAGTGTACCAGTTAGTTCAACTCTGGTTGATCAAATTCGTTCATTATCGGTTCAACAAAATATAAATACAAATAATAATAATGAAATGATTGTTAATATTAATTCCAGTGATAACAATAATAATAATAATAATAAAAAGACCCTTCAATCTGATCAACAAACATCTGTCCTTGTTAAACGTACATCAGATAGTTTAGTTACAACAACTACAACCATAACAACTGTAACAAATGATGAACCAATTCGACGACGTTCATCATTAACAACAGAATTTAATACACGTGATCGAAGTAATCGAAAAAATTCTAATACAATGAATAGTAGTTTATCAACAACAATCTATTCAAATAAAGATCTGTGTACAAGTAGTAATACTCAAATTAATAAATCTATGATTACATATTCAACAAATGGAAATTCAAATGAAAAAGTTATTATTATTGATACTACAGCTGTAAGTTTCACACAGACATTTTGATTTGAATTTGTTTGATTTCTTGTGTTTTCAAAGATAATTTATTCAAATTAAACAATAAGCTTTTCGAAAATATGATTTTTAAGTAAAGAAAGAATTCTATAAAAATCTAACAAACATCCCTACTAGCTATTATTTATTATTTCAAACTTTACAAAACTAATCGATCAGGTTTAATTTTAATATTTTTCCGCCATGAACAAAAATTCAAATAGTAATTTGAATAAAGATTTTTTCAAAATAAAAACGACTGCTAGTTTCCTAAGGGTAGACTTTCTGAAAAACTAAATATTTTAAATTGTAGAATATGCAATTACAATTCAATTTCAGTCACTCATAATGATGAAGTAAACAATTTTCTACGAAATGAAACGCCTTCTAGCTTTCAATGATTTTTTTTACAAGCAACATGAGCCTTAAGGCAGACACAAAAGTCATCTCATTCTTTTAATTGTTATAAAAGCATCATTTTTTGCGCATTTAATAAGCTTCATGTTTCTTGGTCCGAATAAAGTTATCAACAGCTTGAAGACGTTTTATTTTTGTACAGAATAGTTTACTCTATTATTCTAAGAAACTGAAATAGAATTATAAGTGCAAATTCTAGGACATAAAAAATTTGAGCTGCTGGTTTTCTAAAAAATGTTGCCTTTCGAAAACTAGCAATCATTTTTCTCTTGAAAAATTCACTATTAATAATTACTATTTGAATTTTTCTTAGTGTTGAAAGCAATGAAAAACAGTTGAAGCCAAATTTGATCCAATGATTGTATAATCTATTGTGTGTCTGTCAAAGGGTATAATAGAAAGACTTGAAATAATATTTGCCATTTGCCTGTGTTTGATATCAGTCGTTAGATATTTTTGTATATTATTTACAATGTGAAAGCAAAATCTTCTTATTTAAAATTAATATGTAATTATTTTTTGATTACATACTTCAGACTTAAAAGATCATCCGAAACAAAAAATAAACTTATCTTTACTCATAATCATTTTTTTAGTATTGAATCTTCTTAATTTTCTATTGGATTAGTCTTATCTGTCTTATATAGATTTATGATTCGATCAATTTGGGTCGTCGAATAGATGTTATTTGGCCAAATGAACAAATGAGATTGAATGGTGGTCGTAACGTTTGGTCTGGTTGGATGCCAAGTGTAGGCATGACTGGTCTTGTTGTTCATCGTTGGATACCAAGACATCGTGATGCCCGACAACGATCTCATATTGATAAATGTATATTACTTGTTCATATAGATAAATATGATAAATTTGTGCCCATTGCCGAACATGGTGTACGATTTATTGGAGAATCAACTTATCTTTAGAAAAAAGCATTCTCTTATTATTTCATGTCTCTTGATTTTTTTTCTCTCGTTATTTTGCTTCTAGTCTAGCTGTTCAACAAAAAAACAAAGAAAATAAATAAATACAGTGATATAATGAATATTATCATACGAATTCAAGGTTATCTCTTTTTTATTATTAAATTATGATTATCCAATATATTGCAGACAGAAATAAACAATAATGTTAATGTACTTTTGTTGATATACAAGATGAAAACTTGATTCATGAGAAGGAGCGAAAAAAAAAACATAAGCTGTATAACAAAATCTAGGTAGTAATAATTCAATGATGATCTAATTATTCACATACAGATTAAAAAAGAATATGTGTGAATGTAACCAATCGAAATCATGAATCGATGCCAATTTTCTAAACAAAAAAAAACAAATAACCATGTATACAAAATTTAATAATTAAATAACTTTTTCATCTTCTCGTAAAACATATGGCTCTAGCAATTAGTACATTTTAACATAAATAGATTTCTTTATTTTGTTTTTTTTTTGTTCGGTTTTAAATTGTTTCTTTTTGACTTTTTCTTTTCAATTATACTACGCTAAATATATTTCCAACAATGAATGCATACAATTATCACTTTAACAATTTACATTAATCGCGAATGTCTATAAAATAAAACAATCTTGCAAGCATTGACGTTAAAAGTGCCTAGTAAAGAAAATATTATAATATTTAATAGTTAATTACAATGACAGAAGTTGAATAAAAGATAACAAATGTTTTATAATGATGTTTATTTTTATATAAATAGATATGTCATAAAATATCATTTTTTGGTTCTTGTTGATTTTCTACAAATCTGTCATCACATTGTCAAACGAGTTCAATTTTTTATCTCTTATCATCTAAACTATTCACGTCTGTTTCCTTGGTCTTTTACTATATAAATTTATTCACACTTGGAAAAAAATTATCTTTCTTTGTTTTTCTTTTTTAATTTGTCTGTTCGATATTAAATATTTATCAAGTAATTTTGAGTTATTTCCGGTGCACTTTTGTTGTACACAACAATAACAGAACAAAGAAAAAAAAAGTCTTAGTGTCGAACGTTAGCATAACAGATGTTACTTGATGTATTCATCGCATAAACAGAGCACATAGAGAGAGAGAAGAAAAAGAAGAAGTAGACGAAAATCGAGAAAACAATTATATCAGGAAAAAATATACAATTACTTGAATTGTAGATTTGATGGTCGATACTTTTTCCTATCATCAGAAGCAACTAATAAGAAGTCCTATCACTACTTGGTGTTGAAAGACAATGTCTTTCATCTTTTTGTCGATTGATTTATGAATGATTTGTGAAAAAATGCCTATAGGAGCATATACATAATACTACTGATGGGTAAGTTCTAGATGTTTTTACTCGTAATAAACAAAATACTCAAGCGATTTGTTATTGTTCATGTTTTGCTTTTTTTGACATATTATAGAGACATTATGCGAATTGATTTCTTTGATGTGATGACCTTGTTAGAATGTATCTTAAATCTAAATTTAGTATATGATAATATATGATTTATATTTCATGAGAATTAGACAGAAGAAAAAAATCTTTATGATAAATGAAAACAAAAGTTTATGGCTTTGTTTTTTGTTTCCTTCTTTTTTAATTCTTTTGCGTTGATGTCGAACGAATGCTCCTATATACCTTTCTTTTTCTTGTTTCATATGAGCTCAATAGCTACTAAATATATCAAGAATATTTTATGGCAGCTCTCACTTTGTTGGAACGCTATTATTAGAACTATGTAAAAGAAAGAAAGCTTTATATTACTACAGATGTATTTCATACAAAGTAGTTATTTAATAAGAAAAAAATCGGATACAATTTAGAAATGTATTGTTAGGAAAGATATAATATTTACTTAGTTGTTTACGTATCCTATTGAGTTAATGATCCGTTTCGTTGTTATTTTGATATTAAAGTCGATATAAAGTTCGGCTTCTTTTCTATTTTTATTGAAAAAGAAACAAGGTCATCAGTACTAATGCACTTTAACAATTCTCTTACATAAGCAAAATTAAAAACAAACTTTGAGCTATTCATAATGTGCTCTTTTTAACTTCTAGTGATTCAAGTGTTTTGAGATAGGACAAAATGACAGAAAGATGAACATGAGCACAGTTTGTCATAGCTTTATTATTAGTGAAGAAGTAAGAAGTGTTTTTCTTGTTGATGAATCATAGAATTCATTTTGAATAGAATATTCAGTCGATCGATAATTAATATGTTATTAGTATAATGAAGCTAATCATGTCTGATATACTTATTTTCTTGTGAATTTTCGTTTATGGCATTTCTAGTCAAATACATCGTTACTAGCATGATTTTAACGAAAATAGAAGTTTGATGGCAAAAAAGAAAAAAAAAAGAGAATTAAAAATAGACAAGCACAGAAGATGAGGAATAGTTAATGACTACAAATGGCTATGTAGCAAAACCAATTTTGGCTGACTTAGGAAAAAAAAATATGAGATTTTTTAAAAGAAAAGTGGCAACTCATCAGTTTCGAAGATAATGGAAACATAGTCAAGATTATAGTTATTTTTGATTTTGAAGTAATTATCTTTGTTCTGTCACGGTTTTAAAAAATTTAGAAGAAAGTATGAATTTTTTTCTTATATTCTAGACATAATTACATTGAGTCCTACTATATGTTGATAGTATTGCTCTATTATTGTTGATTATTGCTGCAACAAATAAATCTATAGTATCATTTTATCGATTTATAGAGAGTAGTCTAAAGAAAAGAAAACTTCTATATTATGATCAAGAAAACAGACTAGTTGCTATAAGAATGTAAGAATTGATATATATATATTTATCTTAATGAAAATAAACTCCTGAGAATTTTTTATTTTTCAGGGCACGTATAATATTTACGCATATGCTTGTGTCTTATCCTTTTTCTCTAAAGAAACCTAATATATAAGTAGTTATGTTATCGTTCCCGTAGGAAATACTGATGTTTTTCTATCTTTCACTTACATTTTCTTATTTCTCATATGGCTATTTCAATTGTCACTATAAAAGGTAACACAAAAAGAGAAGGATATACTGTCTAGAATGGCCTTTGATTTCTATTTTTAATATGCTATTTGATTTGCTTTTGTATTCTTTTGAAAACTACATTTCCTTTGAATTCAGTTTTTTTTTATGAATTACTTTTGTGTCTTTTGTTATTATTTTTAATGGTATTCTTATTAAGTAATTAGCTGCTTCGTTGTTCTAATATAAAACAAGTAGGAAAACATTCTTTTTCATTCAAATTGGATCATAATTTTATCAGGAAAATTTTTCTTCGAATGTATTCTTATTTTTAATTGAATCATGTATCAGACGAATAAAAAGCATCTATTTAGATTTAAACCTAGATGTAATCGGGTGCAATATGATAGAAAAGAGCGTTTTTTCATTGGTTTTTCATTTTCCTTATCTAATTACTAGTTTACTGTTTTTTAGCAATGATAAAAGTTGTCGCATTTATTAATGCTCTATATTGCAATAATACTCATAGTGACGCAAAATACTCATGAGAAATATTTCGATCTATGAGAAAAAAGTCGAGTGTCTAATTCTATCATATCTAAATCATAAAAGCAATTTCTGCCGTATTCCGTGTTCATGAATGTACTTGTGCGTTTTCGATGACAGCACTAATTGTATTTTTGGGTTATCTTGTCTACAGATAATCGATTTTTTTTTAATAAAAGTATTCATCGCCTTAATTTTATAAAATTATATATCTTATTGGGGACGACGTGTGTTTAATCATCTTCTCTCTTTGCATTAATCTTATTTGATTAAATTGGCTTCTTACATGCGTGTGACTACTACTTTACTAAAATACTTTTTTTTTTGTATTTTGTTTGATAATTAGTGATTAAATAGTGTGTGAATAAAAATTAAGCATGTTATTTTGATTGCAAGCATTCTTTTAATTTGACTAAATACATGTGTTATAAATCTGAACGTTTATAAAAATTAGAAGAAAAAAAGAGGCATAATAAAAATAAAATTTGTATTCAGGCAGGTGTTAGTCATTTTTTTTTGGTTTCAAGTAAATAACTTTGTATATAACAACTCAATATTAATTAGTCAATTAAAATAGAAAATTCATTGTACTAATAGCTTTTTTTATTCATCGTCTTGTTACTCTTATCAATGACTTCATACGCTCAAATGACGATCTTTTTCATTCATCTAGACAAAAAAAAAAACGTTGTTCGCTAGTTATTTTTCTAGAGAAAAACAAGAGAAAAAAGGAAAGAAGAAAAAGGCTAAAAATATATCCACAATACTATTAAATGCGACTTAGAGAAAAGCACATCGCTTTAATAATGTTTTAGATGTGTTTTTAAATAAAAATTCTAACAATGTTTACATTGACAAATATTGGCCTTATGATTTATTTTGCTCTTGTGTCACTGATAGGCACACTTGGCAACGGAATAATCTTATTAGCTTATGGAAACCGTTGGAATTCATCAAAATCAACATCAGTTATCTTTATACTTATTCTTGCTTGTGTTGATTTATGGACATGTCTTATTGTTGTACCAACTATTGGTATAATGGAATATCGTGAATTTGAAGTCCCAACACCGCTTTGTCGATTTTATTCATTTTCAAAAATTCTCATCATTATTTCATCATTAATTATGTCATTTATTGCATTGGATAGATTTTTAAATATTGTTGCTCCACATCATCGAGTACTCAATCCTTGTCGTGTTAAAGTAAGTATCCAAAGATGTTTTTATCTTTGTGTGAGACTAAAAAGAGCTATCTTGTTCCATTTTTTCTTAATTAAAGTCTTCACTGTTAGCATCTCTATTATTATATTCGATAATTATAACAGTCATGCATATGAACAAGCTTGCTCTTTTTAAGAATCCAATTTCTTCATCGTTATTATTTGGTGTAGACCTGAGTTGAAAAAAACCTTTTTTTTTT